TCCTTAGCAGGTGACCTCGAGCACGAGGGGCAGGCGTTGCTCGGAGTACCCAAAGATAGTCTCATTGATTGGGTCATAGGGTACATCCCAATATTTTGTACACACCTTTGTGTTGCTATTTACTCCTGAGCTGGCAGCTGGCCGAGGCTGTTGGAGAACGGCTCTTCTCCAGGGCCCGGAGTTTCCTTGACGACTGTGCGCGTCATTGATGCCGAAGAACTGGATGCATCCCTAGGAGAAGGAATTAGGGGTTTGTGCAGCTTCTTGTAGACCCCCAGCTTCCTCTTGAGCTGCTTCAGCTCCACCGACGTCTTCCTTGGGGAACGGGTGGTCGTTGTGGACTGGTGTCGGGAGAGGACGTTGACTCCGTGGAAAGGTCGGCTTCTTTCCACACTCCTTAATTTGGTCCCCAGGTTGTCCGGTACCGGTATAATCTCCACAGTTGTCTGCTTCTTTTGGAGTCCCTCCCGAAATTTCTCCAAGGCTCTAGCTCCTCGAAAATCAAAAGTTTTCATTAAAGCATCTTTGTAAGATAACTTTAACGAATCCTTATAATTTCTTGGGTCTTCAAGGAGTTTCCCTGTCTCGGCAGAGTCTTTTTTCGCGGAGTCGTATTTTTCCTCGGCGATTTTCCCTGGCGAAGACTGGTCGTGGGGTGGAGATTTTCCCCCATCATTTCCTCCTTCACGCGTCGAATCAGCTTCGTCGAAGTTGATTTTCCCGTAATCCCGCGGCCGCTTCCGGATCTTTTTATTTTTGCCATCTAGATCCGCAATCACTGGCGAGTCCCATTTTTTGGCTTCTGATTGGCCAAAGGAATTCCGCCACTGTTGCGTGCCCGATACTCTGCGCGTTTGGTTTTCATTTTGTTGCAGTCGAAGATTCGATGACCCGGCACCCCGCAAAAATCACACGTGTAGTTGGTGTTTTTCAGACGTGGCCGCCCTTCGAATCTGTCGACTTCCATCGGGTCGGCGAACGTGGGGTGAGCCGAGCGGTCGCCCTGTCGCGTACTGCCGACGTGCGTCCGTCGTGTTCCGGCGTTGACCATGTCGAAGCGCTCCGCGGCCGATACGACGTCACTGTAGCTCGCGTAGTTTGACGCTGCCACCTGTCGTTTGACTTCGGTCTTCAGCCCGGCGAGGTACGACTGTACTTTTTCCCCTTCAGTCAGGTGGGGAATGCGGTTATAAAATTCCTCCATCTGCTGCATGTACTGCGCTACACTCCCGAACTGTCGGTGTCGATGAATTTTTTCCCGGGCAAGGAAACTCGAATGTATCGGCTCGAATCGTTTCAGCAGGTCGGCGCGGAACTGCTGCCACGTGGCTTCACCGTGGATGAAGGTACTGTTACCGCCAATCCACTCGAGTGCTGGCTTGCATCAGTGTCGCCGCGAGTCATACGCGTTGACCGTCCCAGACTGGCGAGCTCCATCCGACGGCTGCGAAGTAGATCTCCATCCCGGCGATCCATTTGCGGACGTCGGAGTTTCGATCGCTCGGATCAAACGGCTCAGGTGGGCGCGGTTTCGGAGCCTCGAGAAACTGTTGCAACTGCTGCGTCGTCGCCGTTGTCGTTTCGTGTTGCGCTCCGGCGAGTCGAGTTACTCGCTCGAACTCGTTTCGCCATGCTTCGCGGTCCGCTCGCATCTCCTCCTGAAGGGCTGCGAGGCGCGCGAAGAGCTGCTGGGTAACCTCGGCGTTGTCGAGGTTCGCCATCCTGTTCAAAAACACGCGCGGAGGGGGTAATTCGAAAAACACGGAGCTGGTGCTTACCAGAATCGGCGTCGAATTGGTCGCCCCCGGCGATTTTTCGAGGCACGATCCCCGCTGCTGCTGCTTAGCTGAGCGCGGTCGAGTGAGAAAAGCTCTGATACCAAGTGTTACAGGATCGAATGTGTCGAGGAAAGGTTGCACTATCGATCAGTACAAGGCGCTTTTATACTTCCGGAGTACATCAGGTAACCAGGTTTATCTTATTCTAAGGGAATAGACCCTTCTAGAAGATAGAATCACCCTGCGTATAGCCACGCGGGGCTATTGGCTTTAAGGGATTACGGCAGGATTACGCCAGATAGCGCACCAGTACATCCCAAGCCTGGTCGGTGATATAACTATAATAGCAGGATAAACCAAAGGTTAACGGAAAATGGAGAATAGGAAACCAAATGAGATGAGATAAAAAGGAGGAATGAAATAAGAAAAGGGACAAGTGGTGTAACGGGGTCGTACTCTCACATGCGCAGTCGTGAATGATCTAAAGCGAGGACGCTTTGACAAGGGAAGGGCATGACTAATCGCTAGCTGTGCGACAGCGTCACGCGAGAGCCAAACTGCATGAGCAGCAGACGTGGGGTCAACGGGCAGTTCAGGAGGGGGGTTAGGGCAGGGGAGCGTACTGTCGAGGTGGACAGCCAGGGAGTGGCCGTCCTGCCGCTGACCAGTGAGCTGACCGCGAAGGTTGACGAGCCATGTGTCGAACTTGATCGGCTGACCCCCCGCGCAGGGCCGTTGACGGGACGGGCGTGGGACTTGCTACGGGCCCAGCGCGGGCCTGCTAAGGGACGGTTGCGGGGCCAGCTATGGGGCAGGCGCTGATCGGCTACGGGACGTGCGAAGGGCCGGTGACGGGACGGGCGTGGGGCCGACTGTGGGACGGGCATTGGCCGTCTACGAAACGGGCACGGGTTGGCTACGGGACGGGCGCGAGGGCCGGCGATGGGGCGAGCGTGGGGCCGGCTACTGGACGGGCGCGAGGGCTGGCTACGGGGCGAGCGGGAGGCCGGCTACTGAACGGGCGCGAGGCCGGCTACGGGGCCAGTGTTGGCCAGCTATGGGACGGATGCAGGGCCAGCGAGGGGCCCAGCGCGGGCCGGCTAGGGGACGGGCGCGGGCCGTCTACGGGACGAAAAGGGGCGGGCGCAGGGCCGACTACTGGGCAAGCGTGGGCCGGTTACGGAATGGGCGCGGGACGGCGATGGGACGAGCGCGGGCTGGCGGCCGACTAGGGGTGGGCCGGCTAGGGGTAACGGGCGGCTTGGACCTAGGGCGGAAGCGCTGGTGGGCGAACGGGACCTAACCTACTGATGAAGTCACCAGTCCTAATCACTGGGACAAGAAGGGATGTCTTCAAGAGGGTTAGGCTCCATAGACACACCTTCCCCGAGGAAAGCCTCCCCAGTACCCTCCCTAGAGGTAGAGAGAGGATCGACAGGGTTATCCCAGTTCCACGACACACCCCCCTGCTGGGATAGCGTGAACACTAGGAATTGAATCCCGGATGGCTCTGATATCATGTTAGAATGCTAGAATAATCCAGAATGTGAGAGTACAAGAGAATATAGGCTAGTATTGTTCCCTCTAAGGCACAAACCTATAAAGTATACAATAACATACTAAGATATGTTTTGACAGACTAGACAGCCACGTTATCAAACATATTGCAAAATAGTGTCGTTTTGTTTTTTTTCTTCTTCTTCTTAGATCGTTCACTAAGTAAATAACCCTCATGGATAACCCTTGTTACAAGGATAGCCCACAAATATAACCCTCGTCGTTTTTTCTTCTCATCACATGGATAACCCTCATTTTTTGTATAGTTGGGTTTGTGTGCGCTTTGTATGAATAAGGTTGTCTGCTTAATGAATTATTTCGAGAGTATTTCTCAGAGTTGAAAAGTTAGGTAGAATGTGACATACATGGTGGTTTTGTTTAAGGGGTTGTACTCTCTAAGAGTACGCACCTTTCTAGCCTATATATATTTGATACTATTTGCCTTTTTGTGTTACTTTTGTCGTGAAGGTTGCGAGCTGACAGGTGATACTTTCCACGACAACGAAACGGCGCTTTGATACGCCTTGCGAATATCGTACGACAAGCACTTTTTGGAACCTTCGCCGGATCCGACACGGAGGCCGCCCATGCACAGTACAGAACGGACAGGGGCCCTACATTCTGGGGAGCGGTAAGGGCACATTCGCCCCTGGCATACGGGCCCAAACGATTGGTACAATTTCCATTTTTCCTGGAGATCGCGCTAATAGAATATGACTTGTCTCGCCGAACAAGTTAGCGTTCAGACTGAGAGATGCGCAACTCCCGTTGCGCATCTCAGGACCTGGTACACGTCAGATCAAGGGAAAGTTTAAAACGGAAGCTCGGATTTTTAATGTGTTTGTATACGTTTTGAATGTTTTCAAAATGATCAAGTGCATTCCATAGGGATAGTTTTGCGAGTTCAAACCTCGAACCTCAGATCCGAGATGTACCTGCCCTAAAACAAACTCTCATTTGCTGTGCGTGGTGCTTTCGCTGCACTTCGTAAGCCCCAAAATGTATGGGCGGACGTTTCAAGTTTCTTTTCCCTCAAACGCAAGGTGTGACGGGGGCAGGGACGGAATCGGCTGGGGGTTGTGCGGGACTATCAACTGTTTCCCGTTGTTTTGGTGCGCGACTTTGGTTTCTGCTCTGGCTTGGGGAGGTTCAAGATTAAGACACTTGAAACACAATTTCTGCAATTTGGGTTAACGGCTTTAAACAGAATTCGTCAAGCCCCCAATTCGGATGAAGAGGAGGGGGGGAGGACTTGGGAGAAACAAACCCTCCCGAAACCTCAGGTCATGTCCGTAGAAGTGACATTTCATTTGCGCAGGGTCAGGCGATTCGAGTTGACACTCAACAACATTGTTTGCAGAGTGTCGATTTCACCTGGACCCAAAGACCATTTGTAATGCTCTCGTCAGCCAACCAAATTCGTCGTTGCGAACTACTTGACCAGCTGGGTCGTCGTTTCAAATCGGCGCTGGCCAATGATTCGCCTTCGTTAAAATCACGTGCACACGACTCGATTTGACACAGCAGCTACAGTGTTTAACCCCCAAACGTGGGCGCGCTCCGGTTTGACACAGCCACACGTGACATGTCATTTCTACGGACTTTCCTTAGCGTAGACCCTGCAAAGTACTGTACTAGCAGCAGCACTAGCTCAGTGTTGCACAGTTCACCTGGCGACAGCCGATTAGGTGTCAACCTGATTGCTTCCGCAACAAGTCGGGAGCGTCGAAATCGACTCGATTGGGGCTCGATGGGCGATCGGTCTGAGGGCCGCTGGGAGCGTGTCGCGCCACTCTGGCTTCGCCGCCTGGCTTTTCGCGACAACCGCGCGCTGCTGTTGGCGGTAGTCGCCACGATCGTTCTGTTGGCTGCGTGTGTCGCTCGGTTTCGCGCGGCGACTAATACTACCAGGTAATTAGGCGGGCGGGTGGGGGACATGAGCCCCGTCACGTCACTAGTAGCAGTAATGATCAAAGCTATGCAAGTAAAGCAATGCAGCAACTAGAGCAATATGGATGGGCATTCGCGCTGAGATCCCGCAGCAGAGTCTGCTGGGTTTGCGCGACCACCGGGCGGCTGAAACGCGGCCCGCACCGCGCCATGACCCCTCGCGGGGTGGGTATCCACCCAGTATCGATCGCCAGTCGCGCAACGATGAAGTGCGACGACCAAGTGCGACGATCAACTGCGACGACCAAGTGCGACGATCAAGTGCGCGTCGTGAGAGGCCGGCAGGCGAGCAGCCAAGAGCTTGCGTCGCGCTGCCCACTGGGAAGCCGTTTGAATGACCCACGGATCAAATCTCTTCGAATGAAAAACCTCCGCCATGATTGAATTGACTGTTGAGGGTCCCCTGTCCCTCATGTCCCTCCTGTCCCTCCTGTCCCTCCTGTCCCTCCTGTCCCTCCTGTCCCTCCTGTCCCTCCTGTCCCTCCTGTCCCTCCTGTCCCTCCTGTCCCTCCTGTCCCTCCTGTCCCTCCTGTCCCTCCTGTCCCTCCTGTCCCTCCTGTCCCTCCCACCCACCACATCCGCGTCTCGTTCAGAGCGTACGTCCCGCCGATCATCGTCCACGTGGTGGAGGACGACGCGTGCGTCGTGCCCGGCCGGCACGTGGCCGACTGTAGACTGCCCCGGAAGGAGCGCGTCAACGTGATGCTCGTGTCGGCCATGTGGACGCGCGAGTCCGACACGCGCGTGAGAACACCGAGGCGGGAGGGGGGGGGGGGGGAGAGAGGAGCACGGGTGTGAGGGGTTTTGAGATGGCAAAGAAAGGTGAAACACGAGGTGCGAGGGGGTTCGAGACTCTCCGGTCCCTCCCATCCCTCGCCCTCTCATTCCCATCCCTCGCCCTCTCTTTCCCATCACATCCCTCACGCCCTCCCTTCCGCCTGTCCCTCCCACCTGCCCCCCAACCCAGGGCGAGACAGAGGTGCTGCTCAAGTCACTGCTGCACGGCACGCGCTGCCCCCTGCATCTGCACTTCATCATCGCAGGGGAGCCCGAGCTCTCCGCCATCCGCGCCTTCATGGCCGCCCTCCAAGCCACAGAACTCCTCCCCAACCCCTCGCCCTACACCCACCCGACCCGCCCACACGCCGAGATCGGCAACCCCTCAGCAGAGGACCTGGCGGCCGAGGGGTACCGGAACGGGTCGCCCCGGGAGGAGAGGGCGGTGGTGGTGTTCAGCATGTACATGCTGCCCATGGAGTACCTGGAGGCGCGCACCACGGCGCTGCACCTGTGGCCCCTGGCACACCACTCTGCGCTGCCCGGCATGAGCAAGTTCTTCACACAGGAGATGCTCTGGCAGGTGCGGTGGGTGGGCAGAGGCGTCGTGGAAGCTGGGGGGGGAAGGGGGTGCGGTGAGAGGGTGATTGGGTGGGGATGCTGCGGGGGTGGGAGTTTGTGCCAGAGGGCGCTGCATGCGTGGCGCATGGCGCATTGTGGTCAGTTTTCAGGAGTGAGCAAGTTCTTCCTGGCAGGTGGGCGGGGTGGGGGTGGGTGGTTGGGTGGGTGGGTGGGTGGGTGGGTGGGTGGGTGGGTGGGTGGGTGCTGGTGGGTGGATGTGTGGGGTTGGGTGGTTGCAGGTGTATGTGTGTGGGTGGGTGGGTTTGTGGGTGTGTGTGTGCATGTGTGTGTGGGGGTGGGTGGATGAGTAGATGGGTTGGTGTGTGTGGGGGGGGGGATGGGTGGGTTTTTGCATGTGTATGTGGGTGGGTTTTTGCATGTGTGGTGTGAGGATGGGTGGATTAATGGGTGGGTTTGTGTGTGGGGGGGGTGGGGGAGGGTGGGTGGGTTGGTTGGGGGGGGGCGCCATGAGGAAGAGGCTGTGTGGCTATTGTTGCTTAGGCGTGGGCCTGGAAGGTGTTGTGTGCGTGTGATGCCAGCATTCATTGTGCAATCGACCCTTGATTTTTTGCATGATGATGAGCCATTCTCTCTCCACACACACACGCTCACAAGCACACACACACACACACACATTCACAATCACTCCTCATACCTTCCCGCATCCCCCAACGCACACCAGGTGAAGTGAGCCAGCCATCTCTCTGGAGAGGACGTGCTAGTGGGGGCCTGACATCCAGGACGTGTGGGAGCTGCATGCCTGCAAATGACAGCATCGTGCTGTTTTTCACCTCCACACTCACACTCACACTCACGCACACGCACATGCATACGCACCCCCTCCTCGCCCCCCCCTTCAGGTGCAGCGCACCCTGTACATGGATGCGGACATGCTGGTGGGCGGCGACGTGCAGGATGTGTGGGAGCTGACGAGCGCGATGGACCAAGACGACGACCTGCTGCTCTTCATCGGCAACAACCACCCTGAAACCGCCCCCTGGCGCGTCGGCCGCCCCTTCTGCGCCGGCCTGCTGATGCTGGACCTGCAGCACATGCGCAAAGCCAACTTCACCCAGGTGTGCAGGGCAGGGAGAGAGAGGAGAGAAGGATACTGAGGCATGGGTAGTTGGAAAGATGCCTTATCCAGCCAGCACATGCTGCCTCGCTGCCAGCGCACTCACTGCCAGCACATGCATGTGCTGTGTATACACATGCGTGCGCATACTCATGGGGTCTCTCTTCTGCCTCCATTCTTGCTTTCTCCTTCCTCTCACTCCATGGCAGCTCTTTGTGGACACCCTGGGCCCGTTCAAGCCCAAGGAGCTGCCCAACTACGTGGAGGATGGTGACCAGTTCCTCTACACACGCGTGTGCATGCTCATGCCGCACCGTTGCCGCCTCATGCCGCGCCTCTGGAACGTCGCAGGGTGCTCCAGCCCTCCCTTCCTGGGGTTTGGCCCCAAGGGCAGGGAGGCGAACGGCACGTGCTGGCAGAACCTGCACTTCAACTGCATCGGGCACAAGAAGGGAGCGGGCATGCCTCCGGAGTGGCAGGGGACTGTAGCTTGGGCGCGAGGTCTGAGGTTTGAGGATCTGAGTCGCCCACCATTGCCGTCATAAACCCCTGTACAGAAGGCGCAAAGCTACCACGCACTGAGCAACAGATTGCTGTCCCAGAAGAGGTGTACCCTACCCTCCCTCTGATTTGTTGATATGACACCCACCCCAACATTTTACTCTGCTGTTGAATTGCGCCGAAACTGCCCACTAATAGACAAGCACTCATTTGAGTGCGCCCTGGACCTTGGCTGGCACGCACGAGCGTCGTATGATGTTGATCCTGAGCCGGCCCCTTGAGCCGTCGCGCCCGTTCCTAGCCGGCCCACTGAGCCGTCGCGCCCGTTCCTAGCCGGCCCCCTGAGCCGTCGCGCCCGTCCTAGCCGCCCCCCTGAGCCGTCGCGCCCGTTCCTAGCCGGCCCCCTGAGCCATCGCGCCCGTTCCTAGCAGGGCTGACGTTTCAAAAAAAAAGCACCCTGAGCTGTCGAATGGGAAAAAAAATATACCGAGGGCCTTGTGTTGAAATTTTGGCTTCCCTGATTTCTCAGTGTTCTGGAACATGCAACCCTGAAACCTTCCGGGTTGGCTAGCCACAAACAGGGTTGCTTTGCACTTGCAAAAAATCACTTTAGGATTATACAGCTACTACGTAGTAGTTTAGCAAAAGCACCATTACGCCAGTCTACAAATTCAGTTAAGTCCTCCATCTAGTCTACACTTAACAAGATTCCACGCCACTAGCTACCGTTAACTAAAATTCAGGGCCATCCATGTTCACATTGTCCTCTGCGTCGTCCTCTGCACCCATGACTTGATGACGTTCTGCCGCGAGAAGCCTTGTTCACACTCCACTGTGCTAAGCGGCAGGACAGCGCACGCCTGGCACAAGCACATGAGGTTGGGCCACCGCCTGCCAAAAGGGTTGGGGGAACAGAGTGCAAAGAACAAGAGCAGTGCATTAGTGCAACTAGTCAACAAGCGATGAACAACAACTTCCAATGGGAAGTTTAGAACCGGCAAGGAAACATGCAACAATCGTCCTTCGAACAGCAGTCTCTCACAAGGTCGACTCCGTCGAGCCGAGGTAGTTCGCCAGGCCTTGATGGAATCCCTCGTCGGCATGGTGGCTCAGCATCAATGGCGCCCACGTAACCAGCTCCTTCTGCGCAGCTTGCAAGGAAAAGCCTGTCAGCTTGTTGTCGAAAAAGGCACTGCAGCCATGTAGGTACTCCTTCAGCTTCTTCTCTCTCTGCTGCTTCATCCGGGGCCACTTCGACACGCGGAAGAGCTTCGTCGGGGCGAGATTGTTCAGGTCCATCATCCTCGTCTTCATGAAGCTTATCGTGTCCTTCGCGAACTGCGCGCAGAGCCGCTCGCAATCGGGGTACTTGCTGCGGAAGGCATGCCCGTCAATCTGCTTCTCGTGCATGGTGTAGGTGTGCATGACTGGGCTGTCGTCCTTGTCGATGCCCCGCACCTTTACGCGTTTGTTCCCTCCGCGCTCGTAGACGGCCAAGAAAGCCGAAAGCCACGTGCCTTCGACCCCCCCACCGAACACCTCTCCGCACTCCAGGTAGCGGTGGCGGAGGTCCCCTGTCGCCTCGTCGATGTCCTTCGTCACTTCGGTGACATCGACCTGGTGGAAGTGACAGACAAGGGAGTGGACTCAGAGGGTGATTCCAAACATGCATGCATGGTACAAATACTACAACATGCACAGTGGTAGAAGCTCACCTCCCTCTTCTGGAATTTGAGGTTGAGCTCATTCAACACTCCGAGCACGTCCGCCAGGAAAAAAAGACAGAACTGGAACTTGTAACAGATGACGACTTCATACAGCTCATGCCCGTACTCATGAAACAGAATAATAGAGGCGCCAAGGACCTTACAGAGGCGCCACACAGCCTCACCCCTTGAAAGCCAGCGCACGGTGTGAATTCCTTGCACTTCAAGGTTGGTGTTGTGTATTGCCCGCTGCAGGTACTTGAAGCGTTGACTCCAGACACATGAGCGTCCCAGAAGATCGGCCAGAGTTTGAATAACAAGGTCGACCATGTCGAAGTCTGGAGAAGCAATGGCGGCGTCCTTCACCGCCAAGGCTTCCCTGCATGGTGCATACAAAGGTAATTTAGTCAAGCAGTTGTAGGAAACCTAAGCGACTGAAATGACAAGCGGTTAAACCTGTGCGCAATGCAGTGCAAAGAGACGAGATGCGGGATGTGCTCGCGAAGTCGGGCGACGAGACCATTGTCTCGGCTGACCATGACAGAGGCGTCGTCGGTGCTCATGCCGGTTATTCGGGAGAGGTCGATGCCAGTTGCTCGCAAGTGAGCTAGAAGAACGGCGAGGAGAGACGCGGCGTCGCACTTTTCGACGGTCAAGAGAGCAAAAAACTCTGTGACAACACGATGCGCACGCAAGAAGGTTAGATAAACAATCAAATGTTTACCGCGAGTACGGTCAGTGCTCTCGTCGCAGCTGATGCCAAGGTAGGGTGAGGCGAGAATGTGTTGCATTTGTCGGCGCTGCAAGTAGGATGCCAAGCTGCTGACGAGCTTACAGAAGCCATACCTGTAGTTGCAGAAGTAGCAACATGGTGTTTGTTAGACCTATTAAAAAAATGAAGGATATGGTGTACTTCGAATCAGTGCATTACCGTGTCAGGTAGACTCCATAAGACTGCAGCGGAATGTCCGGGGTCTCCTGCTCGGCCATGAAGCAGAGTAGCCTCGGGTACATGCTGATGGGTGCATCACACTTGCACAGGAAGTCGACGCAGCGTAGGAGCCTCATGACGCGCTTCCCCTCGATGTCAATCCGCGCGTAATTCTCCATGCGCCTCTGGGTGCTGGCGATGTATTCGGCGATCTCCATCTAACACTTGACTGCTACTTCGTGGGCTGTCGTGTGTTCGTGGAACCGCATCGCTTGCGTTTGCAGGTCACGTGCCCTGTCGCGGCTGTTAGAGTACGGTGTTGTCTCTTTGCCAAAAGCCTTGCACCCACTGCACTTCAACGCAGGGTAACCGTCTTTCGTTTTCGTTAGCAGAAGCCAAGGGAAAAATGGAAGCCAGCTGGTCTTATACTTGTGCTCAGCCATGAGATACTTCTGCTCGATGAGTTCTTTCTTCGAGAGGTTCGGCGGCTCGGGTTCTCGAATAGCAGGGGCCAGAGGTTCAGGCGACATGCGAGGCAGCGACAGTCAACGTAGATTCCCGCCGAGGACTATCGTGCTCTGGGTGTACTTCCCGATGCGTGTCTTTTTCCCAGATGAGATCGTGGAAGCACACTCGACCGTGTAACGCACGGGCGTGTCTGTCTCGCAGTCCGGAACCCAAGGGCCTCGGCTAGATGAAGCGACAGCGGGCGGAGGTACATAGGGAGCGGGACTAGATACGGGCTGTGATGGTGTAACGACTGCGGTGGGAGACCGCAAGATGTCTAGAGCAGATCTACGGACCTCCACGGGGGGGTCCTTACCTAGTCCAGAACCATCATCGGCAGCGGGAGACTCACCAGACTCTCCTACATCCGCCATGGCTAATAGCGGCGGATACGATCGAAACGAGAAATCGACTCGACGTAAGTGGACGAGAAACACGAATGGAGCATCTCGTATCTGCGATGTGAAGAGGAGGAACCTGGGCTGGAGGAGAAGCTGGTGAAGAAGATGGGAAGGGGACCAAGAAACCCCAGATTCCGATTTTCATGAACGGTGCATAACCCATCCAAGATCCCGCATCGCCATGGCGATACCGTTAACAGCGGGACGCACCTGCGCTGGCATCGTCTGCACAGAGATGATTGGCACTGTGATCTCATACATAGACTGACATTGCAGCGCTCAGCATATTCTGTCCTCGTATGCTGCGTGCTGAGTCACGAATGCCAGGCTGGGGCATGACGGAGTGCACCTTCCCACACTTAACGGTTGGAAATGTTGCTGAAATGGCAACATACAGCGTGTACACAGTGGGAATGTTGCCAAGTGCAGATTCTCCACGTGACGCAGATTCTCCACGTATTCAATGGACTGGGACCCGTTACGCGTAAGGGGTCCATTTCGCTGAAACTCAGGGTCCCCATGGATGTCGCATTCAGGGTTCATACGCGTTACTCCCTGAAAACTCAGTGTTGTGATAACGCAAACCGTGAAATTCTAAGTGTTCACAAACATACAACCCTGAAGAGGTTAGGGTTCAAAAAAGCCCAACCCTGAAAATTAAGGGTTGGCAAAAAAAAAACCCTGTGAAATCAGGGAATCAGGGTAAAATACCCTAATAACGACAGCCCTGGTTCCTAGCCGGCCCCTTGAGCCGTCGCGCCCGTTCCTAGCCTCTGGTGACGCGTCAGCGTTTCACGTCTGGGGCTGCCTTGCTCACGTTCGTGCCTCTGGCACGGACAAGCTCACTGCCCGCACCCTCCCTTGTGTCTTCCTCGGTTTCCCCCTTGACGCGTCTGACTGGCACTTCTACCACTCGCCGTCTCACCGGTTCTTTCACTCCGGTGACGTCACGAGACGGAGGTAGCCGTGGAGCAGCTTGCCGTCCCGGTGTTCAAGACGCGCTACGTGGCTAGAGGCTTTAGTCAGCGTGAGGGGGTGGACTTCTTTCAGACGTTCGCCCCGACCCCGAAGATGACTACTCTTCGGGCACTGCTACACGTAGCAGCACAGCGTGACTACGAGTTATACTCCCTCGACTTCTCCACTGCGTTTCTTCAGGGCAGTCTACACGGCGGCTACCACTCACGAGTCTGTCTCCTTCTACCGCCGCTTTCCCCACAGAGGTCTCCCGGTTACTCCCCCCCTGTTCCTGGTCACCCCTTCCCCGGTCGCCCCTCTCCCCCCCCCTCCCCCTCCCCGCCCTGCACTGTCTGGTGTGTCTCACGTTGCTCCCCTCCCGTCGGTTGTCCCGGTCGAGGAGTCTGCTAACTTTGGTGGCCGTGTGGCGCAGTCCTCGCCGCCTGCCCCTTCCCAGGCGTCTCCTCCTCCGCCGCCTTTGCAGCCGCCAACGCCGCCGCTGTCGCAGCCGCCGTCGCCGCCGCTGTCGCAGCCGCCGTCACCGCCGCCGCCGCCGCTGCCGCAGCCGTCGCCGCAGCCGTCGCAGCAGCAGTTCGTTGACTCTGGGGATGCTAGCGTTGGGGTGGGCACTAGTCCTGGGGTCCTTGTCGTGGCTTGTCCCGGCGGGCCTGGGGGTGGTACCGGTGTTCGCGGGGTTTCGGGCTCTGGGGGTGTTCCTTCTGGGGGTGCTGGAGTAGAGTGTTC